AAAGGTCCGGTTGTGGATTCCTCAAGGAAATTCACCTGCCTTGACTTGGGCACCCTGGTAGTTTTCAGTCTACAAACCAAACGTTGAACGTTTTTTTCTTTTTTATAAAGATTATTGTCCCGTGATTTTTTTGGCACACAGTCTGGCGTCAGAGGGGGTGTGAAACATAAATATATAGCACAGAAGCTATTTTATTGCTGTAGACAGAAGGTCTCAAATAATACATGTACACATTCTTCACTTAGATTAGGTTCTATATTTCAATTGCATCCCTTTATTCAGGTACAATCAAGGATCAGCTGTGCCGAAAGATATTCTACTCCTTCTGGACACGTAAGTTGTGTGAGAACGGGGTGTTTGACGGTGGTGGTATGTTCGAATCTCACCACCAACGCCTGACTTCCCCATTCTCTGTGTGTGTGTGTGTTGTATGGTAGCCCCGTTTGATTGTCCGCTTCTCGCTTCCTAAAAATGTATCTTTATAAACATTCAACAAAAGTAAGTAAAAGCGGTACAAAGTGTTGGCCACAATACTGCACTGCTGATTATCCGTCTGGGTGCAAATCTTTTGTGTTCTGTCTTACAGAAGTGGAAGTATGACTGGACAATCGTTGAAAGTGGCCAATGTTTCAGCCCAGAAAATTGTGAGCAATTTGGACGAGAACGACTATGTGGCAGTGGCTCATGTGAGTCTCCGACTGTGTGTGTGTGTGTGTGTGTGAATGCAGCAACCGTGTTTTTGTCCAATGGTTGAAGATAAAAATAATACGCGTTCAACTAGCCACACACTGCTCATCGCTTTTCGTGCGTTTCAATTCACGCATTGTATTTAATTCAACACTGAACCAATTACAAAGAACTGGTAGGTGTGTTACAACACATGAACAAAAAGCAATCTGTAGGATGTACAGTCATAGGTTGTGTGTGCATGTTACTTCCCGGATGCCCTGGCCGAGGAAGGGGGATAACCTCAGGGTCCCCTAGAAAGCCAAACCTGCGAGTCAACAGGACGGAGCTCAGAGTCCTCAGTTCATTGGATCATACGCCTTTCGGACAGGGTCAAACGTCCAAGGTGCCCAACACACCTCAATGCTCAATTGAGCCTTTGACCACTTTCACAACCAAGAAGCTGTGTGTGTGGTTCGTACGCCTCCTGCTGGTTGGTACGGAATCAGGGTTAATGGCCAACTTCCGTTAGATGAACTGCCTATGGTTCACCAAGCCGGTTATGGCCCCGGATATCGGCTTTTGGTGGAAAAACACCTCCGCCACGTGAAGGCAGTGAGTATTACCTCCTCAACAAAGGCTGTTTGAGAGGCTTGGTCATATATGAGCATTTCACGAGGTGCAAGCGAATGGTGACCAATCAGTATGCCAGACACCCACTCCGACCATAATGAGGCTTTCGGAGGTTTTACATGCTATCAGTGTTGTTTTTACAAAATATTGCTCGTGAATTCGGAAATTGTTGCACACACACACACACACAGAACAGCTGTCTATTTGTCTGTCTGTCTGATTAGTCCATACGAATCTTTGTCACATGCACCAGGCCATCACTGTGGATGACCGTCAACCGTGTTGCTCAGGCGGGGGTGGAGTGGAGTAAAGGTGTTCAATCCCAACACGAGGTTCCGCGGTTCGAGTCCTGACTTGGAGCGACACACGCAAGAAGTAAGCGCACTGCTGACGAGTCCCCAAAACAGGACGAAATCGTTCTGCCCAATGAGAGTGTTCTTTGTGTCGATCAGCACAAGGATTACCATCGGATTTGAACAGATAACAGCTTGTCGAGTGCAAATTTCAGTTTAATTCAGATCAAGGTTTCAATCACGAGACGTCAACTTGTCAATAAGAGAGAGGAAGACACCCAAGCGGGACCAAGAGAATTATGTGGGTAAATATTGGGTTGCGATTTCCTATCAGTCTGTGGATTAAGTAATTGCGGATCGATCGAAGTCCCAAGTAGAACATTCCATGGTCACGTTACTTGAAAGACTGGGGTCATTTGGGGGGGCAGGGCCGGCTTCAACAGACAAATACTACCGTGTTTGCGTTCTACCCACGAGGTCCCGGGTTCGATTCTCATTTGGGTTGATGAGTTGAGCTGATGAGACCAGACCAGGTCAAAACAGCTGTCCAGTGCTCCCGAGCTTTTCAATTCAAGCATCATTTGCTATATACGCGACGGTTTGTCATTTGAAATTTAACCCAATCCTCCATTACCCACATGAAATAATCAGTTAGTGTTGTGAATGTTTCCAACCGAGTCATAACCCTGGAGGCTAGTGCTGAGTTGAGCAAGGTCTGTGGTCCGCAACAGACTCTCAAAGATGGGTTGTGCTATATCGTGTAAATCGAAAATGAAAAACGATCTGATCAGCTGCCCGGTGGCGTAGTGGGTAGCACACTAGTGTTCTGCCCATGAAGTCCCGGATTCGATCCCCAGTCGGGTCGATGGATTCGCACTGCTGGTGAGGCCCAACCAGGTCCAAACAGCTGTCCAGCAGTACTTCTTAGCTTTTCAGTTCATGCTTCATTTGCCATATACATGACGAATTTCCACTTTGAATTTGAATCAAATCCTCCATTACTCACACGAAATACTAATGACCTTGGCGGCTGCTATCGTCCGAACGCGAACGAGACTTGATAGGTACTTGTAGGATATAGTGAAAGGTGAATTACTACCCTTTACTGAAGGTTTCATTTGACCAAGAATGAAACATGACGTGAACTGATCATCCCACGTACTTAGGCTACACTGCCAAATAATTCCTGGCTCGTTGTAGCGATTACCTTTTCCGAGGAAAACAAAGTCAGTTATTGTCCCGGCGCAGTCATTAATTTTGGCTACATATAAGTGAATATCTCCCGAGAATCTGATCAATGATTAATGTGAGCCTCAGATCAACCAAATCTATCTCTTTTTTGCACTCAATATCGAGACAACAATGCCAGTTGGTTTTAGTCAAGTTGTAATAGACTTGTTTGCCAAAAACTCCGTTCGTCTTAAAAATCCAGACAAAAGCTATTTTGCCCAATGCCCACTGCGAGTCGCAATCCTATCAGGCTTCTCCCGAACGGGCAGACCTCAAATAGCGACCAGGTTTAGTTTGCAAAAGAGAAAATATGACAAATAATGATTGATGAATATTTCATCGTTAGCCTCGTGTCTGACTTCCGCCTTTCTCACAGTTCCCGGGTGTTCTCGAGAACGAGCCAATAGCGTTGGTCAATGCGAACAATGAAACGGAACAGCCATGCTTCAAATCATTCGTTCGCGCCACAAAAAAGAACAAAATGGTAAGATCCGGAATGAGTTGAACACATTCCGATTCTTTTGATCTCGTCCGCTTCTCTCCACCCCTTTCTATTCGTTTGTTCATTAGGAGCGGAGGATAAATTGAGAAGACAAAAGTGAAACGAGAAAAAAGCCACTGGGAAGAGGTGGCCACCCTCATCACCGCTATGTCCGATTTCTATGTGCGTTCAGACTGATTCCGATATCTAGGATCACCACCACTACTTGAGGAAATCGACCGTACCATAACTGAATTGGATAAAAATTGAATAGAGTGGAAAAAACGTTTTTACCAAGCTTGGATTAGTGCTCTTTATCGGTTATCACAAACATTTCCATTGCAGTAAAAGACTATTTGATATTTTTATCGTTTCTAATGATAATAATAATACTAATAGTAATAATATTTTATGAGAGAGAGAGAAAGAAATCTTGAGGCTGTCCCTGGTTGCTCACTACATCCACATTGGTACATGTTCTGTTCTTAATTTCTTTCTATTCATTCAACACGTAAACAATATAAGGAAGAAAAATCTGTAGAATAGGTGTTCACAGGTTGTGTGGACACGTTATTTCCCGGTCGTCCTGATCGTGGGATGGGGATAACCTCCAGGTTCCCACCCGAACCCTTTGGCCAGAAAGTCAGACCTGTGAGACAGCAGGACGGAGCTCAGAGTCCATAGTCCATTGAGCCGGTGACCACTGCCACAACAGGAAGGGTGTGTGTGTGTGTGTGGTTCGTGCACTTCCTCGTAGTTCGTTTGGAATCAGCCAATAGTTCACCAACCCAGTTATAGTTACGGATGTCGGTTGCCTTTTCGTCCTCTCACTTTGGCGTAAAAAAACCCGCCAAATTGAGTAGGGCTTCCCTGGCAGAGGTTATTTGAGACGCTTAGTCGTCTAAGAGCATTTCTCGAGGTGTAAATGAAGTGTACCCAGTCACAACTCGAGACACCCACTCCCGACTATGCTGAGGCTGGTATTTAATATGAAAACTTGCGCCAACATATCAATCAACTAAAGTGATAAACATACCTGATAATGGGGCATCTTTTCTCAGTCTCTCTAACTGTACTGAACTTCGTGCTCAAGGACTGTTTGACAGAGGTATTTTTTATTACACACATTTATGTGATGAACAGCGGATGAGGTGAATCCCATAATTGCCAGGACCTGCGATTCCGTAATGGAAACCGGTAACCCAAGCCCCGGCAGCTTGGAGTGGTGAACTACAAATGGCCCCGCTTAGTTAGACGTGGAGTATTACACCAAACTACGGCTAAACTAGTGATATGGGGGCTCGAACCTCGGATCATAGGGGCAAAAGCATGCCAGGGACAACGATTCAACCATTGTGCCACCACTATTTGTTGTCCAATCGAAAAATGTGGTAGTTTCGTTCTCCTCAACAGATGTTCGTCACGTATCTGGCAATGGGAACAGGAATCAAGCGAACAAATCCAACTAATCATGCAGAGCGTCAGGAACTGTGAACGTTTGTGCTGATCATCATAGCGATGCATTTCAGCAACCTCAATCGCTTTGTACTCTTTCCATTGTTTTCTTTTCATAATCATTTTTAAGGTCATCTTGTCTCTCGTACTGCAGAACAAACGTTGTGTTTTTTTTTTTTACCCTAATTGCGATTGCGTTCAATTTGTCAACGAGAGCCCTAGGCCGAACTAGGTTGTTTGTCTGAGACTGTTTGAGCCAACACTGATGTATACACACACGTCCCCCCACTTTTCCCCGGTCCATCACCTGTCACAGCGACTGTTTCATGACCTTGGCAGTATCAAGGCCCGAGGCTACGCGCGGTTTGATAAGGCGCTACTGGCCGCATTCAAAATGTTTGAAAATGTGAGTTACTGTTTGTTCTTCTTCTTCTT